TAAGAATTACGGGTTGCAGCATAATAATGCCGAAAGAAAGAGACACTGGCATATTAAAAAACTTTAACATGTTAGCTCTGTCTTGTTAAGGTGGCCATACTAATACGCTTAGGATTTCATTCTAGGCCTGGCCCGAACTGCCAGACAGATATGCATTCTATTCAAGAGGGAGTATATACGGGGAATGTTTAAATAGAAGCTGACATGACCGCTATAAACTGGCAAAGTCGCACTATGCAACCTTAATTACCGCTATAGTGACCATCTGGTATTTTTTTGTTGAGTGACAGTTGAGGATATGCTTGCAACATGGCGGAGTAGGCACATTAATATATCAAGTCATGGCTGAGGGGGGCGGACTAGGTTCGAGGTTCCCCAGTTCAAGTTCACAAAATGCATAGCCCCTGGTTTAATACACTTGACAGTGGAGATTAAAAGGTGAGTAGAGAGATTATGGGTGATGTCAGACAAAAACTGGATTATGATTATCTATAGTACTTAACCATATCAACATCAACACAACTATAACATCAATCAAAAAACTGATTTAAGATGCTGTATGACTGGACGAGAAAGGGTCAGATTGGTTCTATAGGAAGGTACTAGAAAAGTGGACAGCTAGGGAAAATGAGTGCCTTCTAACCTCTGAAAGTGATGCAGGACTTGGTGACTGAGACCTACACATCTTTGTAGTCACTCACATCAATAGTTTGATGCAGCTTGGTCCTCAATGCTAAAATGTACGCACCGGGATCACAGACCCATAGGCACAACACAATATCTACCACAGCATTTGGCCTCAGTTATAGAGGAGAGCAATTCGATCACTGGCCCTTTGTTCGTCCTTATAACTGGAGCTGCACGAATTCCACATTTTAAACTACCGTTAGTTTGAGTCCCGCGTGTCTTCGTTTCCCCACTTTGAACAAGTTTATATTTGGGGTCCGACGGTTAACCATGCATGCTCACACTGTCTATGAGGTGTTCCAACCATTGGCAAAGAGAGCAGAATCCAATGGCATTGTATTCCAGCACAATCTTGTCAAGCAGCACAATTAAGTTTACAAGCACATTATCATTGGCTGATTCAGTCATGTGGTTGTATTGTGGGTTGGATCAGCCAAGGGTCGCCTGGGTCGTGTGGCAAGCTTCCGCTAGATACGGTCAATGTCACTGATCGAAGTAAAAACTCTAAAGGCTTGCCATACTGGGGTCACAGATAACACTGTATGTACCCTGTTTCTGTCTTGGTCCTTTTCCTTTTCCGTTTTCTTTCAAATAAGATGGGGTCTTAAGTCTTCTTGGGGGGGGGGAATCCTATCTTCAGCTATTGGGGAGGGTAGAGGGGGATTCTGTTAAGGTCCTATCGGGTGGGAATGTCTTTACTTCTTCCCCCATATGATCCTTTTGTAGGGAAAGAAGGAAGGTCTGGGAAATTACAGGGGCAAGTTAACCCCTTTGTACCTTGAAAATTGGCAGTGATGGAGTGGGGCTTTTTAATCGTCGGGTGGTTTGGTACTTATATCTGGGAAGAAGGGTCTAAATAGGGAGTCCAAATTTTAAGGGGCTCTTGATGGGAGGGGAAATCTGGAATAGTTAATCCTTATGGTTGGCCGGGGGCTTGGTTGAATAGTGGGGGGGTGTAAGAAAGAGATGGTAGAATAAGAGAGAGTGCGGGCGTGTAGTTTTGTAAGGGGGGAAAAGAAAGGGGAAAAGAGGGGGGAAGAAAAAAAGGAAGGGGAAAAGAGGACGGGAAGTGGGAGTGGTAGGTGAGGTTGCTTGGTAAGAAGAAAAGATATAAAAAAGGATCGTTGGAGGGAACAGGGGTCGTGAAATTAGGGGGGGAGGGGAGTCGTGGGGTGGCGGGGCATAAAGACGGTTAAAGGGGGGGAGCGTAATCTAAATCGTGGGGGGAAGGTGTAAAAGAGTTCGAATAAAGAGAAGGGAGGAGTACAATGGGGGGGGGAGCAAAAAAGGGGTCGGAGTGGTCTGAAGGAGGATTACCTTCTATGTGGATTAAAAGGTGAAAATTCTTTCTAGAAAATCCTTTATCAAAAAGAGATCTTTGATGCTGTGTGAAAGAATCGGTGAAATCTGGTGTGCTTTTGAGCTCTTGATGAGTCTTTGTCTTCCGGTCTAGGAATCAGGTCGATGAAAGCGGGGGGATAGAGAGACGAACTCAAAGCAAGAGAGAAATTGGAGAAAGAGTTAGACGAATGAGATATTAGATAATTGTAAGCGGGGTGCGGGCCGGTTGGATAATCCGGAAAAACCCTGAGAAAAAGGGGAAGGAGAAAAGAGGGGTAGGAAATGACTGATGTTGGGGTTGGGGGGTACTGGTATGGGGCTGCCAAAAAGAGAGTCACTTTGAAGGGATCGAAAGTTCACTAGGGAGAAGGTTTCCTTTTCTTTCTTCTTTTGTTCTGCGGGGGGACTTTAACACATCCTGGCTACCGTTTGCTAGTCGTCTCTGCTCGCAACCTAACAATATTCAGGGGGGAGATGTCCTGGTAGGACATCTGACAAGGTTGGCTTCGTGGCTTGCTCTGAACATTATACGCATCAGGAGCGCAATGTTTTTTTGAGAGACGCCCCTATTGGGCATCAAGAGGAACCGTTATGGCTTCCCAAGCCTCTCCTGGAATCAGGGGGCTTGCTCTCAGTCCACTGGCGGTTGGGTCAAATTAATCAACCATCTGATAGATAGCGGCTGGTAAAGGGGAGGCGGGGCACAGAATGGGTCGAAAGTATCGTAGCCTGCCCGTGAGTGCCTGGATGACTACATAGGCGAGAGAGAATATGACAAGATATGGCATTGTGAACGGAAAGGAGGGCGTGCTGGTATTGATGTTTCACATTGTCCGTGCGGCACGCAGTACGTTCAGGTGGAAAGGACTGGCGGCGGAGAATGTACCACGAGAGGCGTGATACTGGTGGCATATCTGGGTCCTGGGCTGGATGTCGCTGCAAAAAGCTCTCGTACGTCAATGAGAAGTGGCTCGAGGTCGCCAAGAATGCGTTGTCTTCCTAGTCGGATGTCTGTGTATCACTATGTAACTGGAGGCGTGCTACTACATTATTAGCTCCGTTAATTGCAGTGGTCTATCCAGAGGTGAGAACAGTCAGTACTGACACACCTCGCATGGCGTTTTGGGCCGGACGGAGCACTGTTGGGTGTCTTATAAAGGTACGTATGTCAGTTCTGTGTCATTCATGGAAGGGATGTGATTAATGTGAGTTTTTTTGCCAGCGACATTTTTTCTCTGGGTGAATTTGATTATGGAAAATGGAAATCACTGGCAGGGGTGCCCATTGTGTATTGACGTTAGACATCCTCGTTGAAAACAGAGTTCAAGGTCATCTCTGACATTCTCTAGTTCCGTCGAGGTCATCGGTCGGCGGAGACAAACTCCTTTCCTTGGTGTATACAGGGGTTTGGAGGGGTGAAATTGATAAATCATACACTCTACTGGGAAAATCGTTAAAAACAATAGTATTGGCATAAAGTTTATTCGAATCATGAGGTGGAGGCATAATGTGCTATTTTGTTATCGTCACTTTAATTGTAAATAAAGACCTGTGAACGGTTGGAATTGGTATCTGCTATGACCTAAGATTCTATGGACGCTAGCTTCCGATCTATGGTACCAGGTGAGGTGATATAACTGGGTATGACGTGTTGTGCCCCAGTTGGAATATCGAGATGTTGGGATAGGGTGCAGTTGTCTGCTCTATATCCTGGAGCCGCTCAATACTACCACTGGCCCACTCCACTCTTCGAGCTGCTTATTCCGTAGGACCTGTTTAGTTACAAGCTGCTAACGGCCTCGACTTGGTGTTTGTGTCAATAATATACTCAAGGCCCAGGGCAGCCATAACCAGCTGTTTGTGGCAGGGGTATCTCCAGCCCAGGATCTCACTGCCTCTTACCATGCCTGGGGCCACTCCATGCTCTGCAATCCTTGGTGTGTTGTTGTGCATGAAGTGCCACATTTCTCTCCTTTAGCACTCCTGCAGTGAATGTTTCGTCTATAACTTGACTACTATCTATTGTTAATTTGTGACTCAATCACCCAGTAAGGTGTGGTGAGTGCAGATGAGAAGGAAGGCTTCGTGTATGGAGAGGTGACCTGTCAGAGGTGGACAGAGTCCGCAGCCAGATCCCAGTCACTGCTCAGAGAGATGGACCTCTCTACTACTCATCACTGCCACAAACCACAGTCTGACTATATACATCAGTCTACATCGTTTTCTACAGACTGGCGCAAAGCACGACTTTTTTGTGTCAATACGTCATTTCTTTCTTAGATGTGTGTTTTTGCGATAAACGTAGTGCATTGTCTGATGATGATGAGCTTTGCTGTGGTTTGATTCTTTATTACGGCACAAGAGCTGGTATATAGGGAGGCCGAACCGAATCCTGGACATTCAAAGTGATTCAGTGACACAAGCCAACAGTGAATAATAACAGATTAAAGATTCCTAAATCTATACACAAAGGTGACCAACTGTGTCAGAAGCCTCTCAGCTTAGTATGAAGTTGAATCACCTACACCCACAGTTCGCCGACTACGGATCACCACACGTTGATTGGCCGTTCTGCAGTCTGATTGTAGATCTCATTTGCGTGCTAGTACCCCACAGTTACCCAGTTAACCAGACCTCAAATGAGCGATGGGTTTGGGCAACCACACGACCGTTATTGCGCATGCAATAACGCGCAATCCCTGGACCCTGATATGTTACGAGGTTGCCATCGAGACAATCCATGGAATATATCCCGGGACGGTTGGTACTCAGGGCCGCAGATTTTGCAGCTACTCTCACGGGACTGCTAGGGTAGCTACACGCCAGACTAATGCGAGGTCCGTGACGGACGCAAGCCAAGCGAGCGCAGCAATGCTTTGCTCAAACGGGGCATTGAGCACGGTTGAGCCGACGGTGGTCAGTCCAGTCGACGCTCCTCGCTGCACTAAGTGAAAGCGCATGCGCAGATTTGGGAGCTCGAGCTGGATACTATGGCTGCCCATGCCGAAGCCACCTCTTCCTTCAAGCTGGCTCTCATCCAACTGGCGGTAGGGTCAGATAAAGCCACCAATCTGAGCAGAGCAGCTGAGAAAGTGAGGGAGGCGGCACAGAATGGGTCGAAGATCGTAGCCTTGCCCGTGAGTGACTGTGACTACATACGAGAAAATATGACAATGATGGCTATTGTCTGCGCGTAGGAATGTTTCAACAGTCCGTACGGCACGCAGTACTTCAAGGACTATGCGGAGGAAGTGCCGGCGGAGACTGGGCAGCCTGGGCCTGGGGCTGGAGAGTCCTGCAAAGCTCTCTCTCAGGTCGCCAGAGAATGCGGTGTCTTCCTAGTCGGAGGTCTGCCATTGTACTGGAGGCGTGCTACTACAGTATTAGCTCGTTAATTGCAGGGTCTATCCCAGAGGTGAGAAAAGGCAAGTACTACAACACATCCATGAGTTTTGGGCCTGATGGAGCACTGTTGGGGGTATTCAGAAAGGTATGTAGCTGAGTATAATATTTTTCATCGGATAATGTGCCATTGCAGGTGCATCTAGCTGATGTTAATATCCCGGGGAAACTGCGATTCAGGGAACCTGACGTGCTCTCTCCAGGAAACAAATTCCTGTCTTTTGATACTGGTTGGTTCTAGTTGCATAATAGTTATATAATAGTTGTATAATTGTAAGCATGAATATGGGATAAACTGAAAGTGATGTATAATACCTGGCGGTTTTTACCATTTCGTTGAACACCATGAGTTCTACGTACTGATCATAAGCCACTCGATTCACGCTGTGGAAACTTTTTCATCTCACATACTTAAACTACATCCTGGTTTACAACCGCACCTAAAGTAACCTATCAACACACTAACTCCGGCACTGTCAGTATTGTGTGCACTTGTCTCAAGTCATTACAAGATTGGGCAAGCTCATGTTTTTCCAGTTATATATTTTTGTCTTATATAGACTGGTGTAAGGTTGGAATTGGTATCTGCTATGACCTAAGATTCCCTGAACTTGGTTCCATCTATGGACTCAGAGGTAGCTATAGGATAAAGAATATGTATATAGCTAACCATTGGATGAGATGTTGTGAATAGGGTGCAAGTTGTTGCTATATCCTGGAGCCTTCAATACTGTTACTGGCCCAGTGCACTGGGAGCTGCTCATTCGTGGACTGTTAGTTACCAAAAGCTGCTAGTTTATTCACTATTGTATGGAAGTTTATTTCTCCTACAGGGCGGCCAATAACCAGCTGTTTGTTGCAGGGATATCTTCAGCCCAGGATCTCACTGCCTCTTACCATGCCTGGGGCCACTCCATGCTCTGCAATCCTTGGTGTGTTTGTTGTGCATGAAGTGCCACATTTCTCTCCTTTAGCACTCCTGCAGTGAATGTTCGTCTATAACTTGACTAACTGTCTATTGTATTTGTGACTCGATCACCCAGGGGTAAGGTGGTGGTGAGTGCAGATGAGAAGGAAGGCATCGTGTATGGAGAGGTGGACCTGTCAGAGGTGGACAGAGTCCGCAGCCATATCCCAGTCACTGCTCAGAAGAGATGGGACCTCTACTCCATCACTGACAAGACTAGCACATAACTATAATCTTCTCTATACACAATTTCACGAATACACCTTTTTTGCTATTTTGGTAATTCATGACGTGGGCAACATTTTCCCACCCAAACAAGCAGTTTGCTTTGTACATTAGTAAGTAGGCTGATGGCAGAGACATCATGTATTATATATACCTGCATAGTCTAACAACTTTTCACAAGCCTGCCCAATACGTTAGCATCCATGGGATATGCACGGTCAGTATAGGCACTCTATATAGTCATTACCGTGGCACATTCTGTTCACGGATTCTTGATAAAGGGGAGTTCCAGCTTTCATGACAGAGAGTCCAGCTGAGACTAATCACTCCAGGTGAGGTGTATATTTGCCAACTTTTTCATTCATTGCCGAGGAAAAGAAGAACGAATAAAGGTGTCTCATGATGTGCAAATTTTAATAGAGAGAGAGACTTCCTGAATGTGTGAATTGCCTGCTAGCCTCTGGTTATGATTCAGTTGAAGCCATCTCTTCCATGGAGGTATAAACAATCTTGAGACCTTGTAACTAAATCGCTACCGATGTATCTGTATAACCTTAGTTGTCAACTATTATACAGATGTAGGCCGTAGGGCAGTGCTATGCGTAACCTTCTACATGCCACTTAACACTGGCTCCTTGTAGCCCAATTACGCATGTATACACCACGTGTCCACATTACAGTTTTGCTAGCTAGACGTACAACTACAGCAATGTAGACAAGGCATCAGGTCAACCGATGGTGGCTGCCAGTAGTGGGAGAGTCATGAAGAGACCTACTGTGGCTCTCAGAACCACTCCACGGTCTCTACACCACCAATCCTCTCACAGCAGGATGGTACAGCAGAGTTGAGACAGAAAATCCCACATCTAATCACGGATAGTAGACGAAGGAGGCAATGCACATCTCCTCTCTCGTACTGAATCCACCCTGAAAATTGCGGTAGATATCACAAACATCCACTACTAGTGTGAACCCTCGGTACAAGGAATGGCATGCATAGCATTGATGTATATAAACACATTTGCACAAAGCACCATTTGATGGGCTGTGCCGGACTGGGCCGGGCGACGCCATGTGGTCTAACCTGCCGACAAAGCCAGTTTCTTGCTCTAGCTATAATGCTGGACTCTTATTCGCATCCGAGTACGTAGGTTCTGTCAAGGTAATCAGATACTGATTAATAATAAATTATATTGGTTTTTCACCTGTTTTATTTCACGCCTTATCTCTCAAATGCAGTGCAGAGGGCCACCACCAGGTGATGGACATGAGCCTTGTTGCCCTTCGTCACTAGTGGTGCAAACTGTGCGGCATATTATTATAATATATCATAGTAGAATATGTAGGTAAATACACTTAAACTTTCTGGGGTGTGGTGTGAATCTGTAATGGGAAAACCTTGCTTGGGTCCATATAATAGTTAGGACTTGAATCACTGTCCTTCAAATTTTTTTATGAGGCGCTAAAACAGGACTTGTAAAATGGATGTTGTGGTCGCACATTACATCAGTGCACCAGAGTATAATATATCTGATCCAGCAGACCACTTCCCCAACAGATACATGTACATAGCTCTGTTGCATTACATGAGAGGGGGAAAGAGGACCGTAACAGTAGTGATCTTAGATGATATATAGCTGTTAGTGATAGTGGGAGAGACATTCACCTTTGTGACATAACCAGTCTGCATGTGAAGCTTTTGAGGAATTTTCGACACTGAGCACCAGTAGGTTGTGTCATTTTTAGGAATGGTGATCTGCAATAGAATGTACATTAAGATGAAACACCACTTGCTGGTCTGTATATTATATCCCTGTGATGGACTCACATTGTCAACTCCGACATCAAAGAACTTGAGATCCTGGGGTCAGGAGCTGGTGAAGGCAGACCTCCCAGTAGATTGAGACTCTTTGATCCCTTCGCAGAGTGGACGAGACTGGAGGGAATGTCCCCCTGAGTGGCTGGGTCACTACTGGCATGGAAACCCAAATGATTCGTGCTGTCTCAGCCTACAACAACAGGTTCAAGGACTTATATATAGGTATTATTCACCGGTTTACAATTTGCCTTGATAGGTAAGTCATGTTCATCACAAGTGATGTATTTCTGACTGAACCTAAGGACTGTGAAGCCATTCTTTTCTGCCCCACTTTCCAAATCCCAGTCTTGGTGCTCGTCCACAGTGGGAGGGTCTCGCTCCGCTGCAAACCGGTCCTGCAGCATTATGAACACTCGGTAACGTAGCTATGGCTAGATTCTCCACAATAAAACTCACATGGAGCACGGTCTCTCCCTCCATTAGTGACCCATCCTATGACCACATCAGAGTTTGGCATTTGTCCATTGGGCGAGAGTCCGAAGCCAACCCACCCGGTGGTCTGGACGAACAATGATGTTTCTGCTTCGTTGTCGAAGTTCCAATAAAGCTCGTATAATTATACATGTCTCCGTCTTCCGCAGTGTCAAAACAGCGTTGAGATCCGGCGCGCATAACACTAGACCCAGAGAGCAAACGAGAAAAAGAAAGAAGAGCATGATTCTCCGTCCGCAGTTCACCGTTTGCACGCGTTAGCGGAGGTCGTCTTTATTACAGTCTCACGGCACACTCTCCCCCCGGCGCGCATGCGCAGTTTTATAGGCGCGCGCGGTGCCCTCCGGCCCCCACGGCGAAGCCCGTCCGCGTGCAGACAGAAACAACAAAAACAGAAACAAAATAGAAAGTACATACCAAAAAGTGCACAAATCAGTATCACGGAGCAGTGACAGTTTCATAACATCCAGAGACAGGTCGGTTTTCTTGACTGAACCTAGGATACTTGAGGAATGTGTGAGGAGAGACTGTAGGCAAAGGGTTTCGAGAATAGTGACGAACCAAATCCATTAATGACTGAAAATTTTCCGAAGCACACAGACCATATGTATGGTTATGTAAGATGACCCTCAGATACTTTATTCCACCTGGTGTCCTGTATTGTCATGATGTAATCAGTTATGCAGCACATGTGTGAAGTCACAACTTACACAACTTCTATGGTGTGTGTATGGACTCCTCCTCCTTGCTGTGCCGTCCGCTGAGAACTTGGACGACAAAGAAACGTGCCACTTTTGCAACCAGTTAACTGCACGAGTGTCTCCTGGCTGATGAAATGTACGTACCAGGTTTCAATGTTCATATATACTTTACTCGATAGCTACACCTTACCTGTCTATGTGTCTGTACCAGTTCTCTTGTCTTTCGTTGTCCTAATGTTATATTTTACAGAGAATGTGCTTTAAACAACAGTTCGCTTATTTTTCCAATCACACTATATACACTTGCTTCAGGTACATACAGTTACATGCAACAAGAATTCTATACAACACAATGAAGAGGCTGAATTGGCCAAATCCGCCCTACCTGGCCCTTCAGAACCTTAACTAGCTATGTATGACAAGAAAAACCTGACACCTCACCCCCATTTTTCAATTTTGTAGTAGCTACGTAGTTGATTCTGGTTTTGCATGGTCTACCACATAGGTATAGATACGATGTGGAAGAAATATGCCCTCCACAGTATTGCTCCCTCTACCATTGCTACCCAAACTATTATAGTGGCTGGCTAGCTAGCTACATCTCAAACTGAAACCTTTAGTTGGGGACTCTGGTCTTGTCTAGGTGGAGGAAGGGAAGGAGGTGGTGAGCTAGACCTCGGCCCAGCTACTGGCATATCATCGTAATCATCACTTGAGTTGTCTTTGTTCTTCAGCATCCCTGTTGACTTCGCTCTGACTCTAGGCTCAGGAATTACCGTTATTGGTTGTCCCCGTTTTGGAAAATGTCTGCCTCTGTCCATCTGCATGCAGTGAAGCAAACATCACCCAGGTGGCACAGTCTTACATATAATTATACACAACGACAGACCTTTGGATTTGGTTGCAGACTCTGTCTTGGTGGAGGAAGGGGAGGCGGTGGTGAGTGTCTCCTTGGCATCGTTATTGGTTTATCATCAATATCCTCGCTGGAAGTGCTCTTCGGCCTCCCGGTCAACCTCATTCTGACTCTAGGCTCCGGAACCATACATAGGTCAGTTTTGTTTCTTCTCATCTTTCTGGTAGTTGTTTCTGGTTTCCCCTGTGCCTTTAATTTGCTGTGAAATTCTTCTTTTAATGCGTCCACTTCTATTTTGCAAGCCTTCTTTGTAACCTCCAACTCTAAGACAAACCTCTGCATAAGTAAGAAACTAACTTGAGGGACAGTCACTATAGCAGGGAAAGGTGAACTCACCTTTCTCAGACTTTCATGATCTTCGGATGACTTTTTCAGGAGCTGTAGTAGCTCCAGTTTCGAGCAGCTGCTGTCTGGAATCCCCGCCAGGGGTTGGCGGAAAACATTTAGAACTTTGGCAATGGAGGGTCGCTTGCTCGAAACATTCTCAAGGCAGGACTCCATCAATCTGATCAATGCATGGCTCTTTGGTAAGGTGCTATATATCTTCACGGTGTAATTCTCACGACGTTGAAGTTCTGTTCGAGCCACTAGCCCTCTCACTTCATCAGTGTATGTTGGGGCTTTTAAGTTTACAGGAAACTCCTCGGCTAGTACAAAGATTACTAGAACTCCAAGAGAGAATATATCTATTGAAGTGCTATAACGAGAAGAGTCTTCCAGCGCTTCGGGAGGCATATAGATGAGGGCCCCCGGAGCCTTGGTCATTGTCGCACTATCTTTGGCAGAAACGATTTTTGCCATACCCAAATCGGCTATCTTTGCTGTCGTTGCAGAATTAAGGAGGACGTTTCTCGCCGAGAGGTCGCGGTGGATGACCGGAGGGTTTTGTGTATGAAGGTAGGCTAGGCCTCTGGCAGTGTCCTGCAGAATGGAGCACTTGAGGCCAAGGGGAAGGCGCGAGTGAGCGGTACTGGTGGAGCGAGTGTCTCCAGGAACGAGCATATCATGCAGGCTAATCATCATCTTCTCCATGATGAGGTAGACGTTGAAATTGTTGTCTTTATCGAACCACAAACCGAGAAACTGGACAACATGTGGGTGACGCAGCCTGCTCAACAACGCGCATTCAGACAAGAACTTCTGGACGTTGCTATCTGCTACCTCCTTAGCCAACCAGTTTGGGTCAGCTTTTGTCATAAATTCGTGGATTTTCTTAGCCGCGCAGAGAGCACCTGGGATCTCCACCTCCTCGACGCTGCCGTATGATCCACATCCGATGGTCCTTCCCGTGAGGGTAACGTCGCGAAGAACTAGAGAGCGTAGATCCGAATGATTTTGCAACTGCCCGCTTCTGCTTTGTAAAGACGAAGCCATAAGACTAAGACTATAAACAGCTCGAAACAGCTAGTGATTATGAAAGACACAAGTGACAAGATATGGGCTTAGCTATAGTGCGCGGCCCGTTCCCCCTAGGGAAAATGTGGGAGAGGTATAGAAGTGGGCAGTAACGGGCTATTGCGCACGGACTGTAGTCTGGCGCGCCTAAGGTACCACCGGCCACTGGGTAACCAATCAGCCTTGTCTGCGTAAGAATACAGACCGCGCATTGCACTATCATCTAACAGCTATACTGACCCTATGCTTTTCGTTAGCAGGAAATAGCTACGCAATTGCTCTCTGGTGGACAATTGGCATCGGTACTTATATACGTATACTAACTACAATGCCGACAGCTATCGGGTGACGTGTACGGTTGAATTGGTAAGGACGCAAGGCTTACACTGATTTTCACGCGGTTTTCTGCGCAAAATGGGCGTAACTGATCGCCCAACGGAACTTTTGCGTAAACTGCCAAGAGTCACTCTTGACACGATTATACGCCAATAGTGACTCACGGCATGCATGATTTTTTAATTTTATTTGCAGAGGGCGTAAAACCCGCAACATAGAGTAGGCAAGGCGAATTTACGGGACTTGGAGCGCTGAAAATACTCACGCGGCAATGCAAACTTATTTTCGGTAACTATTATTTCAAACACCTGTAGCTACCTATAATATAAAACTTGGTACAAACAGAGAATAGCAGCCATAAATACTACCAGTGAGCTGTGACGAAGTGCCATGTAAAATGAAAAGCACTGAAGTGCAAACCCTCGGCGAACTGCGCATGCGCGGTACCACTAATTGATAGGCTGGGCTTTGTATTCCTATAGCTCGCGGAGAGTCTGGCACGGGATAGCTACAGTAGCAGAGAGCATGCGGGAGTCGATACCAGGGGCGTAGCCAGGACTCAAAGTGTGGGCCAGCATTGCGCATGTGCGTACTACCCCATAGGCTCAGTGGAGGTTATAAAGAAGAAAGAAGAACTACGCGTAGTTGCGTGTACGTCATGCCTTTTGTTGCGACTTCTTGTGCCTTCAAGATACACAGAGCGAGCGGACGCGGTCGAGGTAAGCCTGTGCTAATTTGCATATTGGCTTGTTCACTTGATTTTCACTTTTGAACGCAGTAGTTATACGGCCTTTTTTCTATAATGAAACCAGTGTAGCGATGAACCCGTTGGTATCGCTGTTTTATTGTCTCGTTGCGCGTAGTCGCAGAAAACGTGGTAACAGACAGACAGACGGACAGACGGACACACTTACAAACCAAGTACCGTAACCCTCGCTGCGCATGCGCGCCGATGGTTAATTAACAGGCATCTATACACTAGAAACGCACAGGTTACCTTGCAATCTTGATGAATTAACTTGTTTGCACCACAATGCATTCCTTTGGTGTTCTATTATAGATACATAACATAAGTCACTGACCAGTATATACTACTTTGGAAGACCACAGTACGGTAGTCAAGCTGTCTCGCATGATTCTATAGAGTGATTGTTGAGTAGGTATATAGGTGGTTGTCTTCTGTTGCTATATAGTTATTATATACGAGGAAGAGAGCTGAAAGCAAGTTGTCGTGATTTTTGGACTATAATAAAATAGAATAGGACCTTTAGCTATGGGTAGAAAGAAATCTATGATACTAATTTGTTTCATTATGATGTTGTTAGTAGCGTATAGCCTAGTTCACATACCAAGAAAAAGGTTGGTGCAGCGAAGCAAAGATGCAACATGCAATTGTCCTCCACCATTGACAGTACTTGCTGGATCATCCACAACATCAACTACGAGAGATGCTGCATCACTGATAATCTCACCAAATCAGATATCATTTCCAGTCTTTGATACTAATACCCTCGTCACCAGCAGCACTCTCCACGTCACTGACAGAAACTGCCAGCTCTAGTCCACAGGTAACTTCACCACAGCAGAAGCGATATCGTACTTCATTTCCCGAGCACAAGAAGCATCCTGAGCACAACGCACAGCAGAAGCATCCCGAGCACAACGCACAGCAGAAGCATCCTGGGCACAACACATTGCAGAAGCGTCCTGGGCACAAAACATTGCAGAAGCAATATCATACTTCATTTCCTGAGCACAACGCTCTACCTCATCACAAGTATCTCAAGAGTTCAGAGGAGCTAAAGAACACAACTTGGGTAGCAGATCTTCACCACTACCTTATGACACTGAACAGAAATGTCAGTCCTCATGTGAACCTGGTGTTTGCTGACTACAAGCACAGAATGTTAGTCGTGAATTGGGTTGTGGCTGCTACACTCAAAGTAAAACCTCCATTACACAATGTGCTGGTACTCTCTCTTGACCAACTTCTCTGTGACTATCTAGCCAACGCTGCGTACATGACATATCCACTCAATATGACCTGCATTGCAGCACCATTAACTACCATACTATCTTCAAAAGGTAGAGAATCATGGAAAACATCAATGATGATCCGATCAATAATCCTTAGACTTATCAACTACTGGGGCTATGATGTTGCAACTTATGATTCCGATGCTGTTGTTCTTAAAAACCCTCAAACACTGTTTGAATACTACACTCATGACATTCTGTCTTCTGCCAGTACGTATCCAGAGCCTGCGGCCAAGGTGTGGGGTTTCACTCTCTGTGCTGGTGCTATTTTATACAGAGCCACTTCTGCTACAGGTTTGTGAGGTGTAAAGAATGCTGTGTGTGCAGAGTCTGGGTGGTCTAGTAAAGAGTAGTGTAGTAGCAAGCAAATTACCAGCATAGCCTATTGTGTAACTAGCTTACATGCAGAGGGTGTCGGTCACAATATCTAGTGAGGTTTAGAAGGTCATTGGTGAGTGACAGTAATCCATTTAACCTGTGGCCTCAAAAATATTTGCTTAAAATTCTAGTATATACCAACGTTAACGGAATCCTTGCATGCTTCTGAGTATTACAGTATGTCTTACTAATCCTGAATCCTTACCAGTCAAACAGGAGATGGAGGGGGTTGTGATTAACTCATGAATTCCGTTAGTCTTCCCACCAAGCTGCTGGCTTCATTCGTGCGCACACAAAACCAACGAGAACACTGCACACAATCTCCACCACCAAGCCGTGTATGAGGCTATCGTGACATGCATGAAGCAGGACTTGTAATAATACCACATATGGTCAGTTCTCTCGTGCACATAAGTGTCACTGGGGTACTCTACAATGACCCTGAAAGCTGTGAGAGATCCCTCAGGTCATAGTACATATATACTATAAAGAGGGAGAAAGACGAAGCCTCAGAGCTTTGTAACTACAAAATTCAGCACAGTTCTTGAGAAGAAATGCGTGGACCACGTACCATTTTAGGGAAGCCGGGCCGAAAATATTGTATTTCAAATGTGGACGATAGCTAGATATAGTTAACCCTCGGCGCGCATGCACCACGATGGTTGGTCTGTCCGTCCGTCTGTTACCACGTTTTCTGCCACCACGTGCAACAAACAGGTAAAGAAGCGACACAAACGGGTTCAGCGCTTACACTGGCTTCATTTTTCGTAGAAGTGCTGCGTTCGACAGTTATGGCGTGAAAACCAAATCAACAAGCTAATGCTAATTAGCACAGGCGTACCCCGACCTGGTGCGCTCGCTCTGTGTATCTTGAAGGCACAATGAGTAACAACGAAGGGCGTGTATCGACTCACGCAAGCTATCTACTACTGTAGCTAGCCCCTGTCAGACTCTCCGCGAGCTGCTGGCGTTTACTCGCGGTCTCCCGCTAGTAGCTCGCGGAGAGTCTGACATGGGCTAGCTACGGTAGTAGATAGCATGCGGGAGTCGATACACACCCTTCGCTGTGACTTTTTGTGCCTCCAAGGTACGCAGAGCAAGCGGATCAGGTCGAGGTGAGCTAGCCAACCTACTGCGTTGATCGCGTCTAATATACGCATGCGCACCGCTTATTGATAGTGTTGGGGCCGGTCCGCGACACCGTCCGCGACACCGTTTGTCGCTCTCGAACGCAGTCGTTTCAGCAAAAGCGGCCATTTTATTTTTCTAGCCCATGTACCGCTAAAGCTGTTGGTATCGCTCATAAGCCGCCTCGTATATAGGCTGTAGTGCGAGAATAGTGGTAGACAGACAGACAGGCACACAGAACGACTACCGTAACCCTCGCTGCGCATGCGCGCCGAGGGTTAGGTGATTGAGCAAGCAAAGGCAGCAGCTTAGGACCTATGCAGACAGAACTAGAGCTAATCTGCATGTTTTTGCTTCTTTTGTTACAGAGACGTTTTGGAGATATTTATCAAATGTAAGTGGACAAGCTGACCAGGTGTCCTTAAATATAGCCCTCAGGAAATTGAACATTTCTTGGAAAGAGACAACCAAACTCAGTCAATTGTGTTCAACAGATGGCTGGGAGGGAGAGGCTGATGGTGGACTCAAGGTTTTTGTCTTCCCACAACGATTATTCTGTCGAAGAGAATGCTGCCATAAACACAAGTCAGAACGCTATGTCACTCATCCTGGTGGTAAGCATGGAAATATCGAAGACAAAACACGTGTTCTTCAACAGTTTAATGCCTGGTTTATGTCTACGGAAAGTTCTTCATAATCAAACGTGTTTTGTTGGGTTAGACATGATATATAATTCACACTTCAATTGCCATAATTGGTGTCAGCACCAGAGTGCTGGTAAACACACTCTTTGCTAATCCACCCCCAAACTTTAGTAAAGATGTTAAACACAAATTGTGCGTTTTTGCAAGATATTATACATAATGGAAGACGAGTCAAGATGCAATGTCAATTCTCTGCAACTATCCATATCTAGCTCCACCAGTTCGCTTTCGCCACTATAATAATTATCGCTGTTCCTGTAATAAGGGTGTAAACTAGCGTGAAACGGGGGTGTGGTCGACGGCACAGCACGGACTCGGGCGGGCAACCTAGTCGACTGCCGAAGGCAGGCGGCTCGCTGAATACTGCATGCACGGCAAATACCGCTACGTCTCCAACGTTAGCGAGTCAGAAATCGATG